AAGAGATGATAAGCATACCATAGTAACAATGTCATTTAGTTGGAAGCCACTGAAAACTGAGTTGTATTGAACGAGGGTAACGTAAGACAGTTACCAGGAGGTCAGGTAGGACTAAAATTTGTGCCCAAAACATGTCACTTTCAGAGCTGAATTAATAATTTTGTAGCAATGTGTGAGGCAGGTAATATTTATGCAGCAAAACTTAGGAAATCAATTTCAGAGAGCTTACGCACTATTTAATGAATGGTCAGAACACATATTTCAACTCCTTGACATATTCTGGGTCTGAGGTGACACTTGTAAGCTCAATCTTGAATTAAATAATTATATTCTCCTCTTTCTCTTTTTTGAGGTTATACATATTTGTCATTGAAATATTCATATAAATGGCTCAATTAAGATAAAAAGGATGTATATGATGCTTATGAAGACAGTGATCCCAGTCCATAAAGACAGATGAAAATACTGAGAATGGCACGGTGTAGTTACATAGAAATAGTGTAATGATATGCTATGGGATGTAGGTGAAGAAGACATTACAAAAACAATAACTGAATCTGAAGAGGGTTGGTTTTTTTTCTAGTTCTTTTTTCTAAGAGAAATAGGAACATCAGTGATGAGAGAAAATCATTTGATCGGCTACAGGAGGCCAGGCAAAAGTTTTTATAAGCTTTCTACTAAACATTTTGAATGAGCAACAAGAATGAGAAAACTGAATGTGAGTTCTGATGTGACCAGGGTGTATGTTTAAGGTCTTTAGGAGAAAGGCATTGTACTATGCTGATTAATCTAGGTATTCTAGGATTTGGGCTACTTTTGTAACCTGTCATGTATTAAGTATAGATTATAATGGTAACTGCCTTCCAGGGTTACCCTCATTAAGGGACTTAATGCATGTAGAGTTGCCAAGCATTAGAAGCTGGCTCATACCGGAACACTCATTAATAAAACATACTTCTACATACTCAACACCTAAGAAATAGAGAGTGGCATGGTCTTTGCATTCATGATATTTCTGTATTGAAATAGAAAGTGGAAATTATAGTTTTGTTTTTATGACATTATCTGTCATTTGGAATTTATCCTGAGATCAGTCAGCCAGGCTTAACCATTTGAGAAATTTCTGGAATGTATTAAGAGTTCTTTTGCTGCATATGACTAAGTAAGTGATTTATTACTAGTGGATGAAAAAAAATCTCATGATTTCTGTGGACATTTTCCAAGTTGTATCATTCAACAATTTGAACAAGTATTAGTTTCTTCTATGTGCTGTATGTTGTGTGAGGTACTGTGAAGTGTAAAAATAAAAATAAAAAAATCAGGTGCTGGTTCCTGACTTGGGAATGGCCTGCCGCAGATCATGGCATTCCATGTGATAGGGGTTCTTTGAGGCTGGATGCCAAGCACTCTGCGATGGTCACTGTGGAGGAGGAGAAAAAGGACAGCTGTCTAGAGCAGAGGGCGCCAGCCGGTGGTCCGTGGACCACTGGTGACCTGTGAGGCCCGAAAGGTTGGCGACCGCTCGTCTAGAGGTAAGAATAACAAGAAGTCACAGAAGAAACGTGAGCTCAGTATTGTGTAATGAGAGACATTTGACATGGTTGGTGAGAAGGAAGGACAGAAGAAGGTGTTACAGAGAAAATTTCAAAGTACCTGCCATTTTTAGAGAACAGTGAATTGCTTATGTGTCTGAACAGAAAGGTGGTAGCAAAATAAAGGTTTGAAAAGAAGTTTAGAATCGTTTAAAGGGTTTTGTGTGTAATAAGAGTTTGTATCTTGAGCTGTCATATATATTGTCATATACTTATATCATAAAACTCTTGTTGGCTTTTATTGCCTCATATTTTTATTTTAGTTGTCTAGGTAATTTTTCCCTAAACACTTGTTATATAGCTTCTAGACTAGAGAATATTTTCTTATTCACCTGATTTTTAAAAAAAATGGTTTTAGATTCTTTCCCAATTATGTTTATACTCAAAAGATGATTTGTCATAATTTAGGATATCTAAATTCACAGATGTCAGGTTTTGGTTATTACTGGTTACTGTTTTCCCCCTTTAAGCTGCTGGTGAAAGTGCCTCTTCTTGCATAGCCAACAGAAGATGTGTATAAAGTTCATATATGTGAAAAGTTTTGCAAAATGATTCCTGTACTAATTATTAGGTAGCATAAGAAGACATATTTGGTTGCTTATCTATAATTAATTTGAAGGTAGAAAAGGAATAAGACATTTGTCTCCCCCAGATGAAGACATTTTGATATATTCATTCTGGTACTTTTAATTAAAAACAGTTGAATAGCCCTCACTTAATGTTATCCATAGGTTCTGTGACTTTAAGCAGAATAAGGAATAATGAAACCATTTTTTACCATGGGTTAATTGATACAAAAAAGTGTTAAGTTCCTAAGGTATCTCATCAATGTTACAGAGAAACAACATTGAACAAGATGATGTTATTGGAGGACCTGCGGGTACTGCTGAGTAGTCATAACTCTCTCCCATCTTACACACTCCATGCGATGGGCTCGCTGCGCTGCTGTTGGTTACACTTGAAGTGGTTCTTTTTTTTTTTTTTTTTTTTTTTTTGTCATTTGCTAAAGTAAAAGGCTTCATCAACAAATATACATGTGGTGTTTCATACCTGTTATGTCACTTAAGTGATAGAATGTAAGGTTTGTAAGGTATCTAACTGAAATTCACTTTAGAAATACTAAACACGCTATTTAGAAACATTACTAATCTGTGTAGAAAATAACCCAAAGAAATGCATATTTTTACAGAATATTCCAAAGTTTTAAGCAGAAGTTACTCTTTAACATTTCTTAGAAGTATTTCACTGAATGCTTTTGGTGATCCATTTTTTTATTAGTTACCTGTTTTGATAGCCTGTCACAGGAAGTTTTATCTTAATTGTAGATATCTTAAAAGGTTAATGGAAAAACTTACCATAATGCTTTGTGTATTGTCATTGGTAGAAATCTGTTAATTCTATTTAAAATGAAGTGAGCATCAGTGAATAACATTAGACATAATTGTTGTTAACCTCTTCTTTAGGCATAAATGCAGGTGAGCCTTGGAAAGGTCTGTACTTAAAATGTAGGGCTAATGAGTGTCTTCTTTCTTGCTTGCTCTTTGGGTGTTTAAAGTTGCAGTTAGCCCCGGTTGTATGAAATTATTATTTTTGAATGTGTTGTGACATTGGTTTAATTGCATGAAGCTGCAGAACTAGCATGATAAATCAACACAATGAATTTTAATGCAAGGCAAATGATATTAAATTGGCTGCAGTAGACAAAGCAGCTGCTATGATTAATTTTTTCATTCTCTGCTTAAAATATTCTGAGGATGACCTTGACAGTTTCTACTGTATTAGAATCCCAGTGGTATGCACTTTAATACACTTCAGCTTTGTTGTTCTTGGGTAATAAAGATTGGTTCATTTTTAAGGTTACAAAAATTTTGTGTTATAGATGTAATATGTTGGTTGGTTTTGACTGCTTTTAAAACATTGCTTATTAATAAGTAATAACTGTAAGGATTATTTAGCTGGTGGTGAAGTCTTTTTCTATATAATTCTAATTCCATGGTTCCAGCAGAAGAGGAAATCTTTAAAGTAGCAAGAAGAGGAAAGGGAGGGGGTACCTTCAAGGGAGCAATAGTTAGGTGGATGAGAGTGCAGGGCTTTCGGCTGGTAAAGAGGTGAAGTATTCTCTGCTGGGGAACTAGGAGGGATAAGGGATAGTATGTAGAGGTGGATCAGGCACATTTCAGAATTGGGGAGCTTGTAGAGCTAGATCAAATGCTTAGAGGACAGTCTCAACTTCGGTGGAAAACGTTGTATCAAAATCTGAGGGAAGAGGACTTTCTTCCAGCTGTCCTCATGCACTACCCATCTTTGATTTGTGAGTCACTTAGGATGTGGAGATGCTGGTCAGCAACTTAGTGAGCAGAGTAAGAGCCATTGAGGCACAGAAGACTGAAGAAGTGCCCTAGCTTAAGCCTTGAGCGCAGTGAATTGTAGCATATGACTTTTATGTAATGGCCTGCCAGCAGTGGCTCATATGCAAGGAAAAAATAGGAAGCTGTATGCATAGGAATCATTACCTTTGGATTTTTGTGGAAGTGATGGTATTTTATCTCATATGCAGACTATATGTGAGTGAGGAAAATTTACTTTTCAGTTTTCAGAGTTAATCTGTGTCTTGTTTCCCCCACTCTCCCTTTGAAAGATAAACTTCTGTATATGAAGGCTAGAAGTTTCTGTTGAGGGATGCTAATTCTTTATTTATGCAATTATTTTTATCACTCCCCTGTCCATGAAAAGAGTTAAGCCTCCTTGCAAAAATAGTATAAGTTAAAGGTAGAAATGGGAAAAAGAAAATAAGTGTATAGGTATAAAACTTGTAAGGAATGTGATGAAAAAGCATTTACTTTCAAGACTTAAATGTTTAGTACCGGGTAGAATCCACATTTGGCCACCAGAGCAGAGTTCTGACAGGCAGCCCAAAAATATGGTCTCTGAACAGCTGCTTGAGAGAAAGTATAGCTCGTTAGATAAGTAATAAGAATTTTACCCAAGGATTTTAGTTAAAAAAACAACAACAAATATTATTTAACATAATGAACAGTTCCCTGAACACCATCATTGCAGAGTTTTGTAAAAGACATTCGCATTCTTGTGTGGTATCTAAGATTTTGTTATATGCTTTGGTTTAGATTACATGTTAATGGACAGTTCAGTGTAGTACCTTTTTCAGGCAAATGTATTGTTCCTAATTTATAATTTGTATTAATACATATGAAAATTTATTGCTAAACAATGAGCTATTATAACACCCCTCCCCCAAACTTGGCAAGAAATTTATAAGGACTCTTAATTTATTTCAACTTACTATTAAAAAGTATTTCATTTGCGCAAGTAAATATATATTTTAAAATAATTTTGATATCTATAAATTCAAGCAAGAGAATAATGTATGATGACTTTTTTTCCCCCCAGTTTAATTTTGTTGGGAGAATCCTTGGACCTAGAGGACTTACAGCTAAACAGCTTGAAGCAGAAACGGGATGTAAAATTATGGTCCGGGGCAAAGGCTCAATGAGGGATAAAAAGAAGGTAAGTTTTTAAAAATGGAGGCAAGTCTTTCTGTGAATAATTTAATTAATTAAACTTTTGCATTCTAATAAAATATCAGGTTTTTTTGTGTATAAAGCACTACACATTATTTCATGTCAGAAGCATGAACATTTTAAAGGCGGTGTCATGATTTTGACCTGCTAGTTATCATTTTTCATTTAGCCAACTAAATTATCACTCAGTCCGTCTTGTTAACTTACTTTGGTCTTTATAATTGAGGAGCTTCCAATTTGGGAATTAGTCAAACTGTAATGTTGTATATATAAAAGTATGTAACTAAAACTTTGGGAAAATCTAAAATGTTTGAGATTTATATGAAAACAGTCAAGTAAGTTTGCATGTATGTCAGATCATTTGTAGAATTAGTAAACAGAAAAAGAAGGCTTTTAACTAGCCTCAGTTTGGTTTCATCAACATTCTGTGTTGATCACAAGTTTTCTAGACATTTTACTTTAAAGTATACTGTGTCTGGTTTTTGTTTTTCATTCTACCTCTTGTTTTTCTAGTTTAATTAATAAAGACCTAACTACTGTAAATACTGTTTTTAGAGAGGTTTTATTTGCCTAGTTTCCTTTTGTCGAGTGAATACTTATGACTTTTTATTTGTGTAGAAAATGTTTGACTTGTTTTTTTTAAATAACCTAGATTTTATTGCCAATTGATTAAACTTATTGTTAGGAAGGGTTGTTGTTTTTTGTTATTTTGATTTTTTTAACACATTGCCTCGAGAGGGCTATCAAATGACACCTGTGGTCAGCTTATGTTGCAGCATGTGCATTGAATTGCTTTGTGGAGCTTATGGAACCAACACCAGACCTAAAAGGTATTCTCACTTGATGCTGATATGCTGCTTTTCTGAGCTTCCCACCTCGTTTTGTTAAGCTTTCTCATTGACCAAATCTCAATCACTCTTTTCTCCCTGTAGATAAAATAGTAGCTAAAAAGTTGGGGGTAAAAAAATCCTCATTGATATTATCTTTTAATCTTATAGCTTTTTTTTGTCATCTGAGTTTAAAGATACTTTAGGCAAGCTTGTAAGTTCCTCTTCAGTATATTTAGGTGTATTTAAAACATTTTATTAGGATCTTAAGTATTAGATTCTAGATTCTGATTCAGTTAGGTGACATGCATTTTTGTGTTGCCATGCAGTTTTGGTTCCCACGCTTGCACTTAGGGTTGCATTGGCATTAAGTATTGCTACTTTCATAGCCTGGTCACAAGGAGGTGAAACCTCGACAGCTGAGGACAAATAAATCTTCACCAAAAGATGATTGTTTCTGCTAGTTTAAAAAGCTACTGTTATCAGGCAGTTAACAAAACATGTTTTTTCCTCTTCTCCACTTCTGTTAATTCTGTAGTAATGTCCTGCGCTTATGGCACTGGTGCACACATAGACATTGTGGACAAGAGCTTACAAGTGTTTAGTGAGATGCGATGAGTCTGTGTGACTAGGATTGAACTTGTAGCCTGAAAAGCATTTTCTGCTCTCTTTGGCAGAAGAACAGAATGGTTAGGAGAGTGAGTTCTGCAGCCAGATCACTTAGGTGTGAATCCTGGTTCTGTCACTTTGGTTTTGTTGGACACATTAGTTAATCTCTTCATGGTTTGTAAAGTGGGACTAGTAATGTCACTTACCTCTTATGGTGGTTGTGAGAGTTCAAATAGTTCTAAAACACTAGGAACTGTGTTTCAGTGTATAGTAAGTGATCAATTAATGTTAATCATTGTTCTTAATAAGTTTAGCTAACACTGTTTAATAGTACATTTTGTGTTTAAACTCATAGGTGTAGTTTTTTAAACTCTGGAAATGACAGTACTTGCTGTTTTGTGCCCTTTGAATGTCCTATATTCTCATGGCTTTTCTATTCTGTGTCTCCGGTTGTTGGTGTGTCCATATCCTGTCTTGTCTACTTTGTTCTTAACCTCAAGTAGAAGCAATTCACACATTTTATTTATTTTTAATTTGTACTATTGTCTACTAAAATTTATTAAAGCTTACAGAATGTACATGCAGGATAATATTAAAATAGGACACCAAAAATTGGCTATAGATTACATTTTTAGTTTTATTAAAAGCTACAGGTGAACATACTTTGGGCATATCGAGTTAATTGGAATGGCTTCCATATGTTCGGTATTAGCGTATGTGAATTTTGTGAAGAATTTATAGATTTAGAATACTAGGAGTACTTTATATAATCTTAATTTAAATTGATTACACATAATAAATTAACCAAATCATCTTGGGTTATGCTATAGTTTATTTATTGAGCTGTTAAAAATGTTAGTAAAAGTAAAGTCAAAATGGAAAGTACTACTATTTGTTTGTTGCCTGTTATTTTGAAAAAAGACAATGACAAACAGATGGAGACAAAAAGAGGTATTGATGTAAAGAATAAGCCTGGTTGAGATATATTTCTGGTACTTCAAAGGAAAGTCCATTGATTACTTTTTTTGCTGTAGAGTTGTCAATTTATGCCAAGTGAAGAAAGCTAGAGATTAAATACCATTTTATTTCTTATGATTGAAATGCTATTTACTGATCTGAGTCACAAGGAGATGAAATCCTTTACTCGTCTGGTAAACTCAATTTTTATGGAGTATTTCTCTGGTGTTTGATGAATGCCTGCTACATGGTAGGACCTGGAAAAAACTGTCTGGGAAGGAACACATGTTTCAGTTAGGTAATACATGAAGGCATAGATGCCCTTCTGCCCTGACGCTCCAGGTCCCCATAAAGGATTTTGTAAATAGAGAAAATTATAAACCCTATGTGCTTTAATTCTGTTGGGAAGATAGTACTGTATCTTTCTAAGCTGCTGGTTTGAAGCAATGGAATGAATATGCCACTTCAAACTTTATTCTCTTGGATTGATATTACTTTAGTATTATTGATGGCCACAATAGCATTGATTTTGAATAAAATGGAACTTAAGAGCAGGAACTGCAGTCAGACTTCATGAGTGGCGTGGAAGCTTGTCTGTGCCAGTCAACATAGGGCACTGCTCATCTTCAGCAGGTGGACTGGGCTTGTCTCTGACATTAAGTATATGGTAATGGGGTCTGCAAGTGGAAGCCAGTGTCTTATGGATAGTCCTTTTGAATTATAGTATACTCTGTATCATGAATTATTCTAAGTACTTTACACATATTTAATTGATCCGAGTTTCATTATTTCCATTTTGTAGGTGAGGAAACTGAGGCTCAAGGTGGTTGAGTAATTTGCCAAAGGTCAGCTGCCAAAAGGTAGCAATCATAAACCATTTCTAAGAGTGAAATCAACCTAAGAAATATTAGAAGAACTTAAATATTGAGTCCTCTAAACTTTAACTATGAAGTCAGTGTGGTTCCTTTTTGGGACCACAAATAAGCTTTTTGTTTATTCCCTCAGTGATAATATATTTTGAAAATTTTCTGTGCATCATTCTTTTTATTTCCAGAAATCCTTTCTTTAGACAGGATTTAATCCCTTGTTTACTGATAGGAAACAAATACTGAACAGATTAGAGATGCTAGAGAAGTAATTTTGAGGACAGAATATGATTGATTTTTTTTGGTAGGGTGTTTTTTTTGTTTGTTTGTTTTTTTGTAGTTTTTGCAGGGGCCGCATGAAGGGCTGTGGGAAAATGTCGAAAGAATGGTCACCTTCAAAAAACAGGTGGCAGTCGAAACTAGTGCAGCAGGTAAACACATGGGTCATTAGAATGGAAGAATGATGTGTGCACAGTTAGACCCTGGATGAGTTATTGAGAATAGTTAGTTACTACAGTGGTAAATGAAGTACACCGTTGGAAATCTTTAGGAATGGTCTTCGTCGGGAACACTCTTTGGAGACTTTTCTTATCCACATCCATTAGTTTTCTGAGGCCCCCTGTCATAAACAGGAGCTAAGAAGCCATGCCTGTGTTGGCCAACGGTGTTGATGGGTGAAATGTGTACAGTTGATTAAAGCCAGTTCAGTCAAATGTTGTGTCTTCTGGAAACTCCCAGTGAGACTCAGCAATTCCAGTTAGAGCTCTGTGCTTGAAGTGAAGGAATGTGCACTCAGAGGGTCAGATGGCCCTGCAGGGCTGCTAATCACAGTGCCAGATGGTAGCTGCTGCTGCACCTCGTGCAGTGTCTTATTCACACCATCAGCCGCCTCAGAAGAGAGTTTTACGCTTCCAGCCATGGAGGCGCAAGGAGGAGAAGTAACTTACCCAGCCCCTTGTTTCTAAATAACAACTGCACAAAATTCAAACACATGAGACATTCAAACTGTACAAATTATTCTCATGAGATTATGGGCTTTGAATTTAATTCAGTTTTTAACTTTACATTTGTTTCCTAAATATATTTACCCATAGAGTCTCTTTTTAAAGAGATGTTTCTATAACTTCTTGAGAAACTACATTGTTTTGTGGAATATGATTTATGAAATGTTATTAGAGAAGGCATATTTTATAATTGTAAACATAAGTAGACTTTTTAATATTTTTACATGCTATTTTTCATATATGTATATTACACATTTTCTTAAATATCTCACATTTCTATTTTTTATGGTTAATATTTATTTTGATACGTGATATTTTTAGGAAAGTTTTTTTTTTTAATATATTTTTTATTGATTAAGATATTACATATGTGTCCTTGTCCCCACGTTACCCTCTACACCCCCCCCGCCCCCCCCCCGCTCATGCCCTCACCCCCCCGTTGTCCATGTCCATTGATTAGGCCTATATGCTTGCATATAAGTCCTTTGATTGATCTTTCCCCCTTACCCCCACCCTCCCCTACCTTTCCTCCAAGTCCCGACAGTCCAATCAATGCCTCTCCATCTCTGGATCAGTCCTTGTTCATCAGTTTATGTTGTTCATTATATTCCACAAATGAGTGAGATCCTGTAGTATTTATCCGCTCTCCAGTTCCATCCATGCTGTGGCAAATGGTAAGAGTTCCTTTTTCTTCTTCCTCTTCTTAAAGAATACCTTTCAGCA